CAAAGTAGGCTATAAAATAAAACCGTGCATCTTTAACTTAGCAGAATGAAAATGCAGGGAACACAGTCTCATTGACATCAGGATACTGTGGAAAGTTATGTTCGGTCATCTTACAGCCGCGATCCAAGGTAGCCAACGACTCTTTATCTCCATGGTTACACCTCCAGGCAGGAAAGCGGTGGAAAGTTAACCCATTTTCTATGTTGTTCCCATGGCGATCATGTGTTGCGCTGTTACAGCCCACAATACAGCAACGGTTTACCATGGTTGAAATCAAGTTAAGGTGAAATTGATCAAATTAAAACACGGCTCAGAGGGAGTACAGTACGCAGTAGTCGTAGGCAGTAGTCTGAGCCGCGGTAAAGGAGAACATCAACATGGCTGCCACGCAAAGTAATTACGTCATGACACCCAAGCCCTATTTAAGTTTCTTTTTATATATAAAATTGAAAGAATCAAAAGATATAATTTAGGTGTCACTACTAATAAAGAAACCCAATCTGACAATCTAATGCTTTTGATAAGTTTCAACAGTGATTGCAATAAAACTAAAATTACATTTGGGCCTTTTAAAATAAACAATAAAAAAATTGTAATAAGAAGAATCTGCAAGGGAAGGAGGGGGAGGACCTTTTATTAGAGTCTTTAATTTTTTAACAAATTATTGCCTAAAAGAAACAATACATCTAGTGTTATAAATGTGCTTGAATTTTAGCAGTTGGTTCGTTTTGCAGCAATGAATAAGAAACCAAACAGGGTTTTGTTGGGTTAATCTATAAAGCCTTGAATTTAACACTAATTCTGACATTTTGAATTGAAAAAAGTTTCCTGCATGGTAAGTGAAACGTCTTCACACTTTGAAACAAATTCCAGTGGATTGTTTTTAATCTTTTTGGAATGACTATGACCTGGATGACTGAGGATTTTTACCAGCATGCTGTTTAAAGTTGTTTTTCTTTATCTCTATAGTGGTGTTTTAGGAAAAATAATTTATTCCTAAAAGTTTCCAGTAGACTAACTTTAACAATGATGAGCTCCATGACTGTTTTCAAGATGGTTTTATTGAAGACATAACAAAGAGAACAGTCCATTAATCGGGGGATCACTCGATTAATAGTGACAATAAAGACATTTCCACATGTGTGGTCGCAGATAGCCGAGGAAGTAATTAAAGGAGAATACTCTCCGCCCGAGCATTTCTAACACAGCAGATTTTCTGGTGCGAGTCATTAAAACATCGGCTGGACTGTTGCTTGGTTTAGTTACATGCTTGGACTCAGACACACACCCTCCCTGATTCAGACAATGGCTTCTGCTGTGAGCGCCTCGCACACAGGCTGGGTCTGTTTCAGCTTGTTCAGCAAAGCACCAGAGGATCGTCTTCTCGCTCTGTGCTCTGCTTGGTGTCCTAGAGCTGTAGCCCCCACATGTTGGACTGACTTCATCCTTTAAAAGTATTCATTTGTAGCTTTCAGCAACTTTATCACATGTTACTGTTTTACATACAGCCTGCTGTATAAATAGGATTAACAGGTTTTAGTTAGGATTCAGAAGCTATTTATGTTTACATCATCTTTGTGATGAAACCTCCTAGCAACGGATTCAGCACCAATCTTTTCAGTAGAACATGTTATCCAGATTTGTTTCTAAAAGCTTCTCCGCAGTGAGATTTTTAATTATGAAATAACACTGTAAACAAAGACGAAAATTGTATTTTTAATATCATTGTAGAATTATTTATATGTTTTATTTTTTTCTTTGTCATACGGTATGGTATATGTTCCTCTACGTTTTTTTTAGTGGGCTGGGCCCTTTGAAGGAATTGCCTCTTCTTCTAGTGGAAACCACCTGATAATTCAAT